CTAGGTGAGGTAGGGCTGGGCTGCAGGAGGACAGAAGGACCTTGCTGGGACCACCCTCCACATCACAGACAGACATGCACCAGCACACTGCCTCAGAGCCACATACACTGTCTCACCAACAAACTCCGCCGAAAACCCTGTCCTCTGCCACCTCCCTCCCACTAGCCTAGAAAACCCCAGAGGGGAAAGAAAGTAAGAACCCACTCTCAGCCCGGAGTCTGAGGCACCCCAGCTTGGGCCTTTCTCCAGTCCTTCCTCTTTTTGGATGTCCACCTGGCTCTGGGGCTCTGCAAGCTCTCCGCTGGCACAGGAAGACCACAGAAACTTCTCTGGGCTGTGGGATGGCCGGTGACTGGGTTACTTATCACACGCATTCTTCTCCCTGCCAGCTGAGAAGAGGCCCAAGCGTTTGCCCCATGTGTCCTGGGGTCAAGCATGCTGGGGTTCTCAGAAGAGAGCGTGGTCACCACTGCCTTGGAAAGCCAGGACACTCCACCTCTGGTGTTGCTGTCCTACCCCAGTTCCGGAGCTCCTGGATTTCTGGATCCCAGCTGCCACCAGGGAATGGTGGCCCCCAACCCAGGCCTTGTCTTGGGGTGGCTCTGGTCCAGTCTGCTTCCCGCCGATCTGAGCATCAGGATGGCCAATGGCGTGAGGGCAGCGTGGGACGGGTCTGAGCACTCTGACAGCTGGGACTCTCGGGAAGGGCGGAATCCGGTATCCACGCAGCCCCTCCTCCGCACCTTCACGCTCCAGGGCACTCTGCTGCGCATTGCCCAGTACTCCATCCCTGCCCGGGATCCTTGCTTCTAGCTGGGGTTGTAAACTGCGAGGGGACCTGGGTTCGGCTCCGCTCAGAAGCGCAGCCCAGGGGAGGATGGACAGGACTCCACTGTGGGGAGGGGGTGGTCCCAGGGCTACGTTTGGGAAGAACAGTAGCACAGGCAGGCACAGGGAGTGCAGGGTCCCTAAGGAGTGGAGCAAGGGGGTTACAGGGAAGGGCTCCTCGGAGATGAGGCATCCGCAGGATTGGGAGAGCCGGGACTGCCGCGGAGCTTCCCTCTCAGTTCTTGCTTCCTTCCAAGCGATTCCAAACAGCCGGCTGGGTCTTTCCTTAGGTGGAGAAAATCTGAAGCTGTTTCTGTGGCTGAAATCCAAGCCACAGAGAACCCCAGATAGGCGGGAGCGCCCGGGTACGAGCCACTGGGGGCGTCGTGGGTCCAGGACCACCGAGGGCCGCTGGGGGTGTCGGCGGGTGCCAGATCAGGCGGGCTCCATTGCACACAGCAAATTGCCGCTAGGCGCCTACGGACGGTACCTGACTCGGGGGACTTAGGCCCCCCATTCTACTGTCCAGCTGGCCACTTCTTCAGCAAGGGAAGTGGTGGGGAGGGCTGGAGCCACGACTGTGCTAGAGACCTGGGTGTTCTGTGCGTCTGTGTGCGAAGGACCCGGGACCGCGGACTCAGCCGCGGAAAGAAGGCCCGGGAGCCGGGACAAAGGGCAAGGAAAAGGACTTATATGGTGATCTGGAGTGTGGGGGTGTGGCGAGGGGGACGAACGGACATGGAGCGGGGAAGATGTGGAGAGGGACCGCAGGTTTGTGGACTGAGCTGCCCCGCTCCCAGACCAGAAAGAGCAGCCGGTGCCTGGGTCGGGCATGTACCCGGCAGCCTCCGGTGACTCTGAGCACCATCCGTGGCCCTCCGAATGTCGGCCCTAGTGGTGCGGGCTGTGCCTTGGTCAGGGTGGGGGGAAAGGGACCAAGATTCTGCGTGCCCCAGCAGAGACCACACCGGGACACCAGAGCCGGGCTGCTGGCACATCCTCTTGCGCTGAGACCTTGCTTTTGGGTGGCCCCGGGAACACGACCCTGGGCAGTCTGCGGCCCCGACTCAGCTCTTAGACGCCAGCCTGAGGGTCACAGAAGTCCCAGAGGCCAGGCCACCGGGGCCCCCATTTTGGTTGAAGGGGAGAAATGCCGAGAGGAAGAAGCCGGTCACAGGGAAGGTGGGGAGACGAGAGGAGGAGGCTGGAACGCTGCACCCGGAGTGTGGGGTCTGAGGTGAGTGTGCGGGGCCGGAGACGGGAGAGGATTCCCAAGCGCGCTCCGAAGAAGGCGAGGGTCTGGGCCTGGAATCAGGACCCTCGAGCCCACAGGCAACGTGCAGGGACGCAACGCTGCCAGCAGAGGGCAGAATGCGCCCGGTCGGTTTGCCCATACGGTGCCGGGCTGTGCGCGCCCGAATTTTGCCTGCCGGGCTTGTCCCGCAGCCGCGGCGCCCCAGCCCCAGATGCGGGGGGATGGAGGCCCAGGCCCAGGCCCAGGCGCAGCCTTAGGAGCTCAAGGCCTTCCAGGCTGTGCAAGGACGAGCGACCAAGGGCATATGAGAGAAGCTACATATCCTCTCATCCACCGTCCTGGATACAGACACACAAAGACGTGAAGAAATACACGGAGTCACAAAACCAGGCGCGCGCACTCGCGCGCACACACAGAACCCCCCAAAAACTCTGAGAGACAAGCAAGCGCACAGAATCATTCAGAAACTCGAAGATACACTCAGACACAAAGATGACACGAAGACACATAAACAGAAAAGTATCCCAAACACAATCAAGAGGTTGAGAGACACACAAAGACGTTGGCACCCACATACAACGACAGAGACACAAGGACACACACAAAGACCTACAAACACACAGAAGATACAGAGGCATGTTAAGACCTGCAGATGCACACGCACATGGGCACGGGAAACACACCCAGGTACACAGATTCACACACTCCGAGCCCAGAAAGTCTCAGGCACACAGAAATACTGTATGTGCACAGACATGGGTGCACAGGCATGCAACAGACTGCGAAGCGGGAGCATCGACGCGCACACGCACACACAGATACCCACCGACACACAAGCAGGTACTGGGATGGGGCGGGAGCCTTCTAATCCTCCACAAAGCCAGGCCCCTCCGCGGGGCCCCGCGGCACAGGGGGCCACTTCTGACCAAGCCTCCGGCAAGCTCCAAATCCGATCCGCCCTCTCGCCTCCAGCGGGGTCAGGGGACCCGCCTCCCATGCCCTCCGCCCCCGCCCCGCTCCGCGCCGCTGCTCGGGTCCGGGAGGGGCCGGGCCGCCCCGCAGCGGCTCGAGGGGTCAGCCAGTTTCTGCCCCGGGCCCGCACCCCCACCCCCCACCCCCCGCTCCTGGGCGAGCCGCGCCTCTGTGGAGAACCGGGACCGGAAGACACAGCCGGCCTAGGCGCGGTGTACCGCAGCCGGACACAGCGGCCTGCGCACCGAGCACGGGTGCGGGTGCCAGGGCGGATGCGTGCCAGGCCCAGCGGGCGCGAGAGTCTAGGACTCTGTCTTGCCGACCTTTCACTCCCCAGCGTCAAAGCCCACCTTGTCCAGTCCGACCAGGGCGCTGTCCCTGCCAGGTGCGGCCTACAGACCCCTAGCCGGGCCCCTCCGCTACCAAAAGGAGCCTATCCCAGCCACCAATCCCGCTTCCATCGAGCAACCGAACACACATCGTCCTGGGCCTTCAGTTACCGACCCCAGAGCCACCACCCCCTTCCCGTGCATTTACAAATCCTGCGAGGCCAGGTTCTCATCCATTGCCCCCACCTCTGGCCGGGGTCCCGTTCTCAGACTGAATCGCCCTCTAAACTCTCCGTGCCTATGCTGGGCCTGACCCTCCTCGTCTGCCCAATGTCCCCCATCCTTGATCCCAGGGCCCCTCCAGGATCTTCGCTCACCCCTCGACCCAATCTCACCATGCTGCTTTTCCGGACCCCTCACCCCAAATCCGGAGCCCAACCCCCTCTCCCAGGGCCAGGACCCCGTTTGGCCAGTCCTGGGCCAACAGCCCTTCCCGCCTGCCTCTCCGCGGACCAGAAGGGCCCCGGGAAGGCGCCGCCGCCCAGGGGACGTCAACTCAGCCCGGAGCGACCTACCTTGGCCAACAGATGGGGTCCCCGGGCGGCCGCTCTCGGCCGGCGCCTTCCCCTGGTGGATCCGCTGCGCTCCCCGCCGTCCGCTCAGTCTAGCCTCGCATGGGGCCACTCCTCCTAGCGCCGAAGCTTTACAAAATATTAATAATAAAGAAAGAAAGCAAGAAAAAAGAAAGCCTTCAATCCCCAACTCCCAAATCAATTTTTCAAAGGGGTGGGGCAGAAGGATTTGTTTCGAAGGTGACCCAAACTTCTGCAAGAGGCCAGCCGGCGCTCTGTCTGGCCGGGGCGCCGGGGCCTGAGCTCCGGGCCAGGCGCGGAGCGGGGCGCAAGCCGGGGGCGCGGGGAACCCTCCCGCGGGGGGTGGGGGGGAGGCGACGGCACTATTTGACGTGGAGCCGCCGGCTCATCCCGGCGCACGGATACGAGGCGCACCAATGAGTTCAAATGTCAGGAAGTTTGAGGAGGGGTGAGGCGGCTCCCGGCCGGAGTATCCCTCCGCCGCCAGCCCCAGCTCTAAACCCAGCGGCTCCTCGGGCGCACCATGGCACTGGAGTAGTGCGGAGAGCGCGCCTGGAGCCCTGCGGCCCGCTGCGCCCCGCCCGGGACCCCGCTGCGCCGCCCGCGCCCCCCCCAGCCCGCGGGGCCGCCCCTGCACCCCCGCCCCCTCCCCCGCCCGCCGCCGCCTCCGCCGCCGCTCCCGCCGCCGCCTCCTCCCCGCGGCTCCGTCTGCCGCTGCCGCCGCAGCCCGGCTCCGGGGCTGACAAGCAGGTGACAGAGGAGCCGGCGCGCGTGGCTGCGAGTGCCCGGGAGAACGCGGCGCGGACTGCAGCGCCCCGGCCCGCCCGCCCGCACGACGCCGGGGCCCGGGGCCAGCGCGTCGGCGCTCCACGCTCGCCGGGGGCGGCCCGCGGCCCCTGCCGCAGCCCCAACCCCGCGGGGGCCGCGCCTCCCCGGCTCCGGGGCCGCGGCGGCGGCGAGCGGGCAGGCGGGCGGGCGGGCGAGCACCCTGGCCGGCGGGGCCCAAGGCGCGCCCCGCGTCCCATGGATATAGCAACAGGTCCCGAGTCGCTGGAGAGGTGCTTCCCCCGCGGGCAGACGGACTGCGCCAAGATGCTGGACGGCATCAAGATGGAGGAGCACGCCCTGCGCCCCGGGCCCGCCACTCTGGGGGTGCTGCTGGGTGAGTGCGGCGTCAGACGCCCAAGTGGTCATGGGCAGGGGACAGGGGCATCCTTCCGAGATGGACTCAGGCGGCCAGACCAACGGAACAAGGAAATGGTTTGGAGGACGTAGAGGTGCGGGAGGACACAGACTAGTCTCTTGAAGTGATCACTGGAGGGTCAGTCAACAGGCACCCCTAAACAGGCATCGTGAGGAGACAGAGCTTTGCAGGGACACCACCTAGGAGGAGGGAGGCCAGGACCGCTCCAGTTGCCACCCACCATCCTCACTGGGCCTTGGTGCTAGAGCTGCCACTCCCGAGGGGATAGGAGGTGGGAGGCCAGAGTGATGGAGACCCAAGTAGTCACCTTAGCAAGCTTGGGAGCAGGGCCAGGTCACTTGGTGGGGGGAGCTTTTAAGAGAAAAATGTCCCCTGGGCCACCCAAACTACAGGTTTTGGGGAGACTGGGGACAGAAGACCACGAACGCCGCCGTGGGGCGTGTCAGCCAGCGAGCGCCCCAGCCTCACCTCGCCCGTCTTGGTTCCAGCCGGCTACCCCGCGCCGTGCCGGTTCTCATACGTAGTAACACCAAGCGCCGGATCTCCGGAGAAGGGGAGAGTGCAGCGCCGAGCCAGGGCTCTCGAGACCCGCGGCCTCTCCGCACGGGAGTCCGTGGCCTGGGACGAACCAGCTGAGGCTGCCTGGGCCCTGGTGCGGCGGCCAGGGGAGCGCAGGCGGCGGGCGGCGCTCCCGGCTTGCCCTCGCCCTTGGGGCCCGGGCTGCGGGCAGCGCGCGGCCGGGACGCTGGGGCCAAGCTGGTCGGGGCTGACCGCCCGGCTCTCGCCCTGTGCGCTGCAGGCTCCGACTGCCCGCATCCCGCCGTCTGCGAGGGCTGCCAGCGGCCCATCTCCGACCGCTTCCTGATGCGAGTCAATGAGTCGTCCTGGCACGAGGAGTGTTTGCAGTGTGCGGCGTGTCAGCAAGCCCTCACCACCAGCTGCTACTTCCGGGATCGGAAACTGTACTGCAAACAAGACTACCAACAGTAAGTCCCTCTCTCGTTCTTCTCCTTCCCTGCCGCCGCCCCGGCACTCGAGCCCCGCCACCCCCCACTGCCAGGCCCGCGTCTGCCCAACTGCCGGCTCCGCCACCGCTGGGCCCATCAGTTCTGAGGGCTGTGCGGGCTGTGCGACTCCTGACAGGGACTAACCATCCCAGCCAGACTGCCACTGGTGGGGTGGCAGGGAGCCTCTGGCGGTCCCTAGTTGCCATCTTTTGTCCAGAAACCTGCACTGGTTGGGGTACAGGACAAGGCCCTTGGCCAATTAGGAGATACCATCCCTCTGTCCAGGGACAGGGCCTGACCTCACTGAGACCTAAATTGGGGACCAGTGATTGATTTCCAAATGAAAACAGTGCTTTAGGGAGCCAGGCCCTGGTGGTGTGCTTCCCAAAAGTAGGGTTTTAAGGAGGTCTGGGATTCCTGGAGCAAGGAAGTGGAGTTTGGGGGGCTACTGAGTTACCCGGGCAGCTCAGGATGCCTCCTTCCTGCCATTCTCTCTGTTGTCCTATCAGTCCTTGATAGAAAAGAGGGTCCATTCTCTCCAAACCGTTCCATGCGGGAATTTTGCACTTTTTGCTGGCTGGAGGAACTGTCTAGGAAGAGGACCTCAAGAGGTGGCAAACCACAGTCTGGGGCTCCTGGGGGTGGGGATGAGAGCTGCCCAAGTCAGCCTTCCCCAGCAGGCCCTCTTTCTTGCACAGTGTTTGTGTTAGAGAGGGGGTGGCTAGCTTTGCCCTGGTGTAGCCTAAGGCTCAAGGTTGAGTCTGGAGACTATGGGTTGAGCCCTACCTGCTAACTTTTGTTTTTAAATGGGACTATGGATTTGTCTGGCAAGGTTCTGGGACAGTTAAGAGCAGATTTGGGCTTTTTCTTTTCATCCTCTGCGTTTTGTGCCTGGCAGTGTGATTGGGAGGGAGGCAGAGAGGAGCAATAGCCAAAAGAAAGGTGTCGGCACGCCCAGGGAGGACAGAACTTTCTAGTGAGGTCCAAAAGACCCTTTTAGATGGGTCTGCAGAATGAGGAGGCTCTCAGGTGTTTGGGGGCTCAGGGGGAGCTGTGTGTGCCCAAGCCTCCAGGAAAAGTGTGGGCTGCCAATGCCTGGTGATCACTGTAGCCTACCTGTCTGCCCAGGGACTGTTCCTAAATCCAGGCCCTGATGGGAAGTGGAGCATCTGGGGTGCCCCATCTCCATCTCTCTAGCTGCTTGGCTGGGGCCTGGAAATGGTGGGACTGTAGGCTAAAGCCCTGGAGAGGGTATTAGGTTCTGCTCTGAAAGGTTCTGGCTGAGCCCCAAAACAGCACCTTATCTGACTGTGCTCCCCTGGTCTGGAAGGTCCGATAGGACCTGCTCTCTGCACCTTGCTCTTCCTGCCCACTGGGGGCTCTGCGGGCAGGAATTGGGGTTCATTTCAGAGAGTCAGCTCTTTTGCTGATCCCAGAGTCTTGCTGAGACCTCTCCCTCTGTCTGGAGCACCCCAAAGTAGGCACCTTGCCGTTGGTAGCATTTGGGCTATGCCCTGGACTGACAGGATTCTAGTTCCAGGAGAAAGTGTGGCCACCAGTCAGTTCAGCCACAAGCAGGCGTAGAGCAGGACAAATAAAATGGGGAAAGTAGTCAGGGTAGATGTGATTGGGGGCTTTGGTCTGGCCAAAGGGCAGGGTTCACCAACTTCCAGCCCACCCATGTCCTGCCAGCCTGCACCTCTGCCTGCCTGACCCTTAGCTCAGCTCTGGCACTGCCACTTCCAACTTAGCTCAGCCACCGGCCTGGGTGACTCAACATGTGGGGGCGGGAGGCCCAGGAAACTGGAAATGGGCCTCCAAGTCACTGGAGCAGATTTGGGGGGAAAATTTTTTTTTTTACATGTTGGAAGGACCCTTTCCAACCTCTTGCATGCATCTGCCAGGTCTCTCCCCCTACTCTTCAGTCCTCTGTGGAGCTTCTGTTTAAAACGAGGAGAGGATGCTTCCTGGTTCTTCGGGGCACAGAAGTTGTAAAGTCACAAAATTTGAACAGATGTTACCACGGCAGAGCGGCTAGCTCCCTAATTTTACAAAACAATTAAACGTTAAATGTTCGTGTTGCCTTTGTTGAAAGCCTATTTGTTTTTTAAAACGAGGGAAAAGGCGCCTCTCCGAGAGCTTGATGCTTCAGTGTAGTTGGGACGTGTCTGCGGGTGAATTCGGGCTCCGGGAGAATCTCGGGTCCCTAGTTCCGAGTCTGGGTCCCGCAAGGCAGCAGGCTTCAGGCAGGCATTATTCACGCCCCTCACGGTGCCTTCCTCCTCCCTCGCCCCCTCTTTCTTCCAATAAGGCCAATTAGGTATCTGCACTAGGCCGGCCGGTTGGGGGCTGAGGAGAGGTTGTTCTCTAGACAATCCTATGGACAAATACCCCGGCGGATCTCGCCTCAGCGTTTCCCAGGGAGAGCAGGCGCAGCGAGGTAGGCAGGGCCTCACGGGAGAAGCGATGTTCTTTTTCACAATAAAAGTTTATTTCACTATTTATTTTTTTTCTTTGAGGATCGCAGATGCATATTTATTGCATCTGTGCGTAAATGCTTTTCAGACGAGAATCCCGGCTAGTGGGCGCAGAGACGTGCCTTCTCGATTTGGTCGAACCTTTGTGTCCGCGGTATGGGGAAATTAACAACCCCCCCGCCAATAATTTGTGAAAAAATGTGGCCTCACCGCACCGAGGAGCTTTCGAGGCTTGGTCCTTAGAAAGAGGTTGCTATTTTTATTAAGCGTCTCTTCTTCCTTTCGATTTGTTTTAAAGATCTGGGACACCCAGAAGCCCAGCGTTATTTTACGCACCATGGGGGATATTAATTGACGATCGGGAACATTTAATAGCATTTGATAAAATCCACCCGCACGTCCTGGACGGACAAAGCGGAGCGCGGGGCCGCAGCATTTGGGTATTTTCACGCACAACTCGAGAAGTTTACTTTTTCTCCTTACATGCTCTTGGGGGCTCCTTCAAAAAAAAAAAAAAAAAAAAAGCGTCGGATTGTTCTGTGCCCGAGGCTCTGGCCCCTCGGCCGCCGGAGCTCCTTCTCGGACTCACAACCTGGTTAGAAACCGGGAGGAAACGGGGTTTCCTCCAAACGCAAAATCGCAAACACCTCTCTCCTTCCTCCACCGCATGAAAAAAAAAAAAAATGACAACAATATTCCCCCCCCCCCCCCCCCTTTTTTTTTTTCTTGGTGGCTTGGCCAAATAGAATTATGTAAGTCTTTTTTCTTGCCGTCTGTCGCTCGTCTGGAAAGCGTTTCTATCCTGAGGAGGTGGCGAATTCCTGGAGGAGGCTCCGGAAGGGGGGAGGGTTGGTGGGAGAGTCCAAAAATCTGTCACAAAATGGAGTCTAATCGCTTGTAAGACAGCTCCCAGGCCTGGCGACCCGAGATCCGTTGGTGCACAAGCGGGAGCCTGCATGCGCCGAAGGACCCGACGCTCCTGCTTGGGCCGGGCTCCCACCTCGCCATCCCGGGCCGGGGGCGCCCTTCCGCCCGGAGGGCCTGCCCAGGCGGCCTCGCCCCTTCTCGAGCAGAGTTACAGGGCTCCGCTGAGCCTTCGAGGGTCCCCTTGGGCTCTCCTGCCCAGATAGGGTGCGCCCACCCGCCAAAGGGAGGGAGCAGGGAGACTTTGATTGAGTTTCAGGAAAAAACACTGTCTGAGTCCTGGGGTGATTTTTTTTTCTTTTCTTTTCTTTTCCTTCCCCCCCCTTTTTTCTTTTCTTTTCTTTTCTTTTCTTTTCTTTCTTTTTCTTTTTTTTGGGGGGGGCGGTAAATCTACCCCAGCTGGCTCCAGCTCCAGTGGCCCAACCTGGCTCTTCCCAGCACATTCCTTTCCTTCTTTCCTTGGAAGTGTTTACACCGGGAAAGGCCTACCAAGGAGGCTCACCTCTCTTTGGAGCACCAGCTCTGGCAGAGTAGAGGTGTGGCACGCGGAGAGTAAAGCCGGGCTCCAGCCTCTTCTGCCTGCTGTTTCTCCCAGCTTGGAAGGCTTTCTCCTATAAGGCCTTCCTATGGGGTGCCAGTTACCAGCAGCGCCTCCCCTACCAGTAGGGTATCCCAGCTGGCACGGCCCGCATCTGTCTCATTCAGAACTGCAGACATCCCTGCCCACAGCCTGAGGTAGAGAGTCTGTCCTGGAACTGGATCCGCTTGGAAGGAAAAGCCCAAGCTTGGCCTTGTAGAAAGGCCTCGGTAGTGCTCTCCCTGGGGGTTTGAGGGCTGAAGGGCTCTCACTTTGCCAGCCCAAGTCTGGGACCCTCTGGCCCTTGCAACGGCACCCTCCTTTTAACCCCAGCACCTCAACTGCAGGTAGAAGGGTAAGCAAAGGCCTTCCTACAGCTGCAGTCATCAGCTGCTGAACGGAGGCATTATTCACAGCTGACTCCTGGCTCACCCTGTATTCCCCAGGCTCTGGGCTAGTGCAGCCTAATTTGTTTGCCGGATTTTTCTTGAGTCGGGGAAGAAGGCTGTGAGGATTTCCTCTGGAGTAGGTGATTGTCCGCCCTCAGCAACATCCTACCCTGCCGCACTGGAACCAGGCTTAGGCCTTGGCATCTATCTGAGCCTCTTCTGTTAAATGGGGACATAGCCCCCTGGGGGAAAGGATTCTAATAAGGATTCGAGATAACATGCCCCCAAGGACCTGGCATCTCACCTGGTATGTTGTTAATACTTTGGAAATTATTGTTGTTACCATTATCACCAGCAGTGTGGCAAGGAATGTCCTGTCCTCAAGGAGACAACAAACTGCCCATGGGTTCCGTGCCAGAGAAAGGTACAGCTGGCATGGTAGGCTTGCCATGAGCCTCTCTGTGCAGGGAAAATGAGGGGCACCCCTGGGAAAATCATTCCCTTTACCTGAGTGGGGCACTGTATGGGCCATTCCTCAGTGAGGAGAAGAGCTGTGGACTCTGAGAGCTGGGTTCGCCTCCCAGCCCCATTCAGCAGCCATCGGATCTTAGT